AGTATTCAACGTCTATTGAGATCCAGGTAACTATATATACTCAAATGTTGTGTTGATGTTGAATATGAAAAGTCTGATTACTCTACCATGTTTTGGCTAACTTTTTGAAGATGAACTTGCGTAAAGTCTGCGTTTTTTGGTAGACTTTGATTTATCAACAGATTTACAATAAGTATATAGACACTTTGCAGATTTGCGTAAAAGTCTACCAATTGTTGGTAGACCTCAAAAATATATTTGTCAGACTTATTTCTAGTCTGCAGACTTTACCAATATATTCGGTAGATTTATATTTAGTCTGTAGAGAATAACAGCCTTCCGTAAGGTCATCGCATTTTTGGTAGACTTCAATAATGACGCAAGATTGGAACTAATCCAAACTTTTGATCACTCAATGATCGAGAGTTTTCTAGCTTGTTATGTGAAAGGTGGAATTCACGAGCTGGCTCTGAAGCACTCTCCTGTGAATCAAGGAATGGTACGATGGATAGATGTGGTAATTGACTCGCTCAATCAGTGGGATAATCGACTCACTCGATCAATGAATGACTGAAGGTTGTTGAATCACTCAACAAACTCAATCCCAAGTTTCTAGAGTACTAAGTGACTTACTCACAAAGAACTAAAGAACAAAATGACAAAGACTCAAACTTTGACAAAAAGAAACATTTCTATTACTTTAAAAATGATGAAGGGGTATTTTACAATGAGACTAATGATCAGCTTATATAAGCTGAGTACAAACGTTCTAAAAAGATAAAACAAAGAAACAAATTACAACATTAAAAGAAAATATGGTCGTTGGGCCATTAAGTATAAAATCGGTCTAAATAAGGCAAGTGAGATGTGCCTTGTATCTTATCAACTTTTGGAGAAAGTTGTGACGTCTTAGAAGCTTCTTGAGAGTCTCAAGAGTCTCACACAAGCACACAAACAAGAAGGAAAGAGTCATTGCAAGTTGAGCTCCTTCGGCTCCATATATGGCAAGTAGTAACTCCGCGGGTTCTTTTGTGGTAAGGTGTACCAAAGTTCGTGTGGTACATGTCTTGTGTGGTCTAGATGTTCTCCTGGTTTCCGTATGTAGTGATATGTCTTACATTTTTTAATCACTCATTCATCATCATTTTAGCTTAGTTTCATTCATTGTTTCACACCATTTACTATCATTTTGCATACTTAGGTGTGCGCTAAAACGTTATGACCACTATATCGATCGGTAACAGCATAGAACTGATCGGTATTGGAGACACCTTGAAAACGATCGGTTTAACTCCTTCACTGGTCGGATATGGTTTTGTAAACTTTCCACTTTTCTCTACTAGGAAACTGATTCTCTTGTAAATAAATACCCTATGTATTCTAGCCTCATAGGCATGTAAATATTACGATATTTCTAGTTTTAAAGATTTTTCTTAGTTTTTTTTTTTATTGGTTTATTTTCAATTGATTACCAAAACCCTTTGGTAATCCTTTCTTAAATTCTTGATTCTTCTTCTATAATGATCACATCAAGTGAATGTCTTTAGTCATAAGTGAATAGTCTCATCAAGGCGTTTAATGTCTTATTTATGATGTTGATTGTTTAATTTTCTATCTTTAATTGTTTTTAAAACCTTAGTTAAGTTAGGCAGATTTAACTAATGTCTATGATCTAATTTATCTAAAACAAAAGCAATTCCGACTTTTGAAGTAAATAAGTCTTTATTTTCATTAGTTTTGGTACAAAATACTTCAATAAGCTTCATTTTATGCAATTCAGTCTGAAATGATTTTTTTTTTTTTTTTTGACATCTTTTGATCGACAAGGCCCGATCCATAGCCAATCCCTACTACGCGGGGTAACGCGACTTAGTGGAGTCGAACTCCGGTGGGGAAGGCGGAGTCAAGTGGACTTAACCACTTGACTAAAGGCACATCCCCCTCAGTCTGAAATGATTAAATACTTCGATTTTATAGAAAAGACAAGTCACTGCTACCTCGGTCTAATGTTGTGTTTACCCCCACATCAATATAAGATTAGTCAGCCACCCAGAATCATAACTAGTGTATTTTGGTATTCTAAAGCAAACACTAAAATCTTATAATCCAAATGCACTAAAAGTTTTGTTAGGAGTTCTTTTTTTTTTTTTTTTTTGAATACCAGGAGGTTCTGGACCAAAACCCGTAATCCCTCCAGACCCAAAACCACAGCATATAATATTTGTTTCGTCCCATAGCACTCTATCTATGATAAAATATTCTTAATTTAGTTCTCAATCAAATTAAACATAACTTAATGTATCCTCACTTCTTTTTTATAACACTTGTGCCCTCAATTTTATTATATTTCAAAATGATCACTTGAATTTTGACTACTTAAATATTAGCCATAATATTTTAGTTAATACATATGTGATCCAAAATGATTCTTAGATATGAATTAATAAAATATTTTGTCTAACTAAATCACTTAAAAAAGTTATATAAAATTGAGGGATATAATAATTTGATTAGTTATAATTATTATTTTAAATTAGACTAGTTTTAATTTGTACTATAATAATTTAGTATATCTTAAAACTCACACATGTCATTAGTATTCTTAGACACCTTTAATTTCTTATCTTATGGTATCAATGAACAAACTGTTTATATGAACAAAAAAAAAATTGTCACTTTAGAGAATTTCTTTTCAAAACACTTTTAATTTGATGAAAAAAAAATCTAAAGTATATAGAGGTAGTCGCTTTTTAAAAAATAATTACTAAGAATAATAAAAAAAAGAAATCTAAAACGATAATTGTGTTTAAACATTAAAATAAAAATTAATTATAAACACTTTAGCAACAGCTATATAAACATACACTACAAGATTGTGATATTCCAACAGATGCTTCCAATAATCGTATTTTGTTGAAAATTTGTAACCGATATTCTATAAAATTGCAACAAATATTTTATTTATTGAAAATTTATTGCAAAGTTCCAATAAATTTTGGTTATGGTAAATTTGTCACAAACGTCGTAGGAAAATTGTTGGAATTGTCCAACAAATATGATATTGTTGCAAATTAGCAATAATTATTAAATTGTTGGAAATTATTAACAAAATATTTGTTAGAAACAAATTCTTTTGTGGGAATTTATTTCTAACAAGTTAATGACAAAAGTTTTGTTGGAAAAGTGGGGAAAAAAATAAAAACGAAAAAAAAAAAAAAATACGGAAAAAAACAAAAAAAAAAAACGGAAAAAACCAAAAAAAAAAGGAAAAAAATTTAGGTTAAATATGATCATCTTCTTCTTCTTTTCTCTTTTTTTTTTTTCTGTGAAGTTATACTTCTGAAAAAATTGAAAACTATTTTCAATGACAGGACCAAAAAACAAAAATCGTGAGTGGATGTATAATTATATAGATGAAGGTACTGGAGAATTAACAAAGGAATTTAAAGAAGGTCTTGTTGATTTTATGCGTTTTGCTGCAAATCAAGAGATTCCATTGGAGTGTGGTAAGATGTATTGTCCCTGTTCTACTTGTGGTAATGAGAAATTTCTTCCAGTAGATTCTATTTGGAAGCACTTATATAGTAGAGGATTTACGCCTGGATATTACATATGGTTTTCTCATGGGGAAGATTTTGAAACTTTAGCAAATAGTAACGAAGATGATGAAAATCATGGGTTGGAACTTGGAGATAATAATAAAATGAAGAGGAAGAGAATATAACTAGAGATCCTACCGGTGTGATACAGATGGTAACAGATGCTTTTCGTGAAACGACTGAAAGTGGAATTGAAGAACCAAACTTAGAAGCGAAAAAGTTTTTTGATATGTTAGATGCAGCGAAGAAACCAATTTATGCTGGCTGTAAAGAGGGTCACTCTCGTTTATCAGCTGCAACACGGATGATGAATATAAAAACAGAGTATAACTTGTCGGAGGATTGTGTTGACGCAATAGCTGATTTCGTGAAGGATTTACTGCCAGAACCAAACTTGGCACCTGGTTCTTACTATGAAATACAAAAATTGGTATCTTCACTTGGGTTACCCTTCCAGATGATAGATGTGTGTGTTGATAACTGCATGATACTTTGGAGAGATACCGCAAATCTGGATGCCTGTACATTTTGTCAGAAGCCAAGATTTCAGGTTACAAGTGGAAAAAGTCGAGTACCTTTCAAGCGTATGTGGTATTTGCCAATAACAGATAGGTTGAAGAGGTTATACCAATCTGAACGCACGGCAGGTCCTATGAGATGGCATGCAGAGCATTCATCCGATGGGAATATTTCGCATCCTTCTGATGCTGAAGCATGGAAACATTTCAATTCGTTGTATAAAGACTTTGCAAATGAGCATAGGAATGTGTATTTGGGATTATGTACGGATGGTTTTAATCCATTCGGAAAGTCTGGACGCAAATACTCACTATGGCCGGTAATCTTAACACCATATAATCTTCCTCCATCTCTATGTATGAAACGAGAATTTTTGTTCCTAAGCATTCTTGTTCCTGGACCTGAACATCCTAGGCGATCACTTGATGTATTCTTACAACCGTTGATTCATGAGTTACAAATGTTGTGATCCGAGGGTGTAGTTGCATATGATGTTTCTCTAAGGAACAATTTTGTGATGCGTGCTGTTCTGATGTGGACGATTAGTGATTTTCCAGCATATGGAATGTTATCTGGGTGGACAACGCATGGAAGGCTATCATGTCCCTTATGTCAAGATACTACAGATGCATTTCAGCTTAAGCATGGAAAAAAATCTTGTTGGTTTGATTGTCATCGACGGTTCTTACCAAAGAATCATCCATATAGGCGAAGTAGGAATGTGTTCAGAAAAAACAAAATGGTGAGTGATGACTCGCCTCCGATGTTATCAGGACAAGATATACTGACACAATTAAGAGATTTTGGTGTTTTTAAGACAACCGATGTTGGCGGTAATGGACATGATCCTATATATGGGTATGGTCTTAACCATAACTGGCACAAAAAAAATATCTTCTGGGATTTACCGTATTGGAAGGATCATTTGCTAAGGCATAACCTAGATGTGATGCATATTGAGAAGAACTTTTTTGACAATATCATAAATACAATCTTGGATGTGCTAGGCAAGACAAAGGACAATCTAAAATCGAGATTGGACCTTCCTGATATATGTGAGCGTCCTGAGCTATATGTTATGGACAATGGAAAAGGTCCAATTCCAATCTTCAGATTAGATGCAAAGGGAAAGAAAGCGCTATTTGATTGGATAATCAATAGTGTTAAATTTCCTGATGGTTATGCATCTAATCTCTCGCGTTGCGTAGATATTAACAGCGGCAAATTTTCTGGAATGAAGAGTCATGATTGCCATGTTTTTATGCAACGTTTGCTTCCTTTCGCATTGGCTGAACTTTTACCCAAAAATGTTCATCAAGCAATAGCCGGTATGTACTGTTAACTTAACTATTATTTTACTTATATATATATTATGAAAACATATTTACAGGTTTACTAATAAATATATAAAATTACTGCAGGGATAAGTACATTTTTCAGAGACCTTTGCTCAAGATCCCTCACAGCCGATGGCATAGCTCTCCTAGATAAGAACATTCCTTTGATCTTATGCAATTTAGAAAAAATATTTCCACCATCTTTTTTTGATGTTATGGAACATCTTCCGGTTCATCTTCCTCGAGAAGTAGCGCTAGGTGGACCTGTTCAGTATAGGTGGATGTATCCATTTGAAAGGTTCATGTTCCATCTTAAAAAGAAAGTGAAAAATCTGAGCAAGGTCGAGGGTTCTATTGTGGCGCAGAGTATAAATGAAGAGACTTCATATTTTTCTTCGTACTACTTCGCACCTAATGTTCAAACAAAAGCTAGAAAACCAGGCCGCTATGATGATGGCGGTAAGAAACCTTCTCACCACACCGATATCCCAAAGAGATTTACAGAAGTTGGGCGATTTAGCGGAAAACAACAGTCAGTTTGGTTGACAGATGAAGAATACAAACATGTGCATAACTATATACTTCGTAACTGCGAAGAAGTATTACCATATGAGAGGTATTTTAATTCTCTCTATATATTTATTTTGAGTAGATTTTTTTGATTAATTTGATGGGTAACCTTTTCAAAAAATTTGTCCAAAATATCAAGAGCTCATATCCACAGAAAAGTGATAACGAAATAGAGATCATGAAAGAAGAAGAATTTCCGAAGTGGCTAAAATACTATGTGAGTTGAAACAAAACTCTGTAGACTCTATTAGTGTGGTTGAACACTCTCTTGAAAACACTATATTGGTTGATGTTGAAAATCTCCATCTTGATGATGTTAGTGTAGGTGGTGATGACAATGCAGATGAATTTGACGATTCTGACAATTCAAGTCGGTCAAGCGACTCATCAGATTCAGATGATCATGAGTAGAACTATTGTTTTTTTTTGGTTGTGAGCTCTTTGTTCCTTCTACGATTTGCTTGTCTTTTATGGTTCATTCAGATACATTTTCCGTTTAGTCACTTTCTTCTCCCCTTGTATTTCAGTTCACTGATTTTGCGATTTCGTTTTGAGTTTTTGAGTTCATTGCTCTCGATTTCATCTAAATTATCTTCTGTAAGTACAATCTCAAGTTTACTATTTTAATGACTAACAAGTTGTTGTTGAGATTGTGTTTTGCAGGTTAATCAAAGATTGTTTCAGGTATTGGAGTAATCTACGATTTTGGAAATTCTGTTTATGATTCAAAAGGTCGACATTTTGAATTAAGTAGCAGAGAGTTTAAGGTTTGATTTAGTCACTAGAACAATCTTCTATGGAGTTCACAAGAACCATAGAGTAGAGATTGTTTGATTACTCAGAAGTGGTTTTCTTATGAACTAGCTGGTTCTTTATTGACAATGGTTTGTTCTGAGTGGTTTTATCTCAGGTATCCAGGTTAAAGAGGTTAAAAGTATCAATGAAGAGTTTTGCAAAGCACAAGTTTGTGTGTTGCAGGTTTTAAACTCAAGTATACTAAAGTAGTAAAGGATCATGAATGATGTGTCATTATTCATAGTTTCGATCTGTTTTAGTCTACTGTTTATGGCGTTGATAGTTAAGCAGGTTTAGGGAAACTAAATATTAAATGTGCTAAGTGTGTGTTTCTTTGTAAGGAATTATTTTGCAGGTTTTGCAGATTAATAAGTCCGAGATAGAGCATGGTTAAAAGTGTTCTGAG